CACTCAGCCATAATGGTGACACACACAAATTGGCTGGCCTTACCCACACACACACACACACACACACACACACACACACAGGGGAGTGGAAAAACAATGAGTCATGTGTGCACTCCAGCAAGATGAAACTTATTCCACCCTCATCCTGTCCACATTTACGCAGAGTAATTTTCACTTGAGGTCTAAAATAAAATAAAAAAACAAACAAGTATTGCACTCACCCAGAATGTCATCAAATGTGGCATGTTCATGGTCCTTTAAATAAAATGGAAACAACAAAATTATTCATTCAAAAACTGAATCTAAAAGAACAACAAGCTTTTTTCTGAGTGCTGACTCTAACAGATAACAACATGATACACTTTTACACCTAATTCCTCAGTTAAAGTTCCTCAGGTAAGGACCCCACCAAACAGTAAACCTGGAGAATAATAGGTTGTTAATGATAAAAATACCAATCAAACTTACAGTACACAATAATATAAGTTAATGATGATATTTTAGGCTAACTTCTTCCATCTTTTCAAACCACTGAGTGAGATTTGTTTCTGATTAGTTAGCTGTGAACCTGCTAAGTTGTGCTGTATCTTTGCTAATATCTATCCACCCGGGTTGCAGGGGCAAGAGCCCAAGATGAGAAGACCAGGCCTTCCTCTCCCAGGCCACTTTCTCCAGCTTGTCCGAGGGAACACCCAGGCGTTCCCAGGCCAGCTGAGATATATAATCTCTCCAGTGTGTCCTGGGTCTGCCCCGGGGCCTACTCCTGGTGGGACATGCCCAGAACACTCACCCAAGAGGCACCCACCCAAGATCCCCGAACCATCTCAACTGGCTCATTTCGATGAGGAGGAGTAACGGCTCTACTCTGAGCCCTTACTGGTTGGCCAAACCCCTCACCCTATATCTAAGGGAGAGGCTAGCCACCCTTCGGAGAAAGCGCATTTCCATCACTTGTATCCGTGATCTCATTCTTTCGGTCACCACCCAAATGTTGTGACCATAGATGAGGGTAAGGACGTAGATCGACTAGTAAACCCAGAGCTTCACTTTTATCCTTGCTCTCTCTTCATTACAATGGACCGGCACAAGATACTTAAACTCATCCACTTGGGTCAGTAACTCGTACCTGACCCAGAGTGGACTCTCCACCCTTTTCTGGCTAAGGGCCATGGCCTCAGAATTGGAGGTGCTGATTCTCATTACTGTCGCTTTACACTCAAGATTCTCTAGTCTGAGCTGGAGGCCACCACCTGATGAAGCCAACCAAACCTCATTATCTTTAAAGAGCAGCGTTGACATTTTGAGACCATCCAAATGGAAGCCTTCCGCCACTTGGCAACCTGTAGAAATTCTATCCATAAAAATAATGAACAGTCACAGGACAACCCTGGTGAAGTCCAACACCACCAGGAATGAATTCAACTTATTGCCAGCTAAGCAGACCAAGCTATGCAACAGCTGTATAAGGATTAAATGGCTTGTAGCAACGCACCAGATACAGGCCAGACACACCATACTCCTGAAGCAGCTCCCACGGCAGTTTTTGCTGTCCAAGCCACGTGGCCTATCAGTACTTATCAGCTGGCTCCAAAGTTGCACAGGCTAACAAAGCTTAGGAATTTAAAGCGAGGGACTCCTTCTTCAGAATGAAAGCTCCCTTCACCTGCGGTGACCACCACTGCGACAAGCAGCTTGGAGCTGCAACTCAGTGCACCAGTTCAGCAATGGTGGTACTGAACATGGTCCATTTATCCCCAGTCTCCCTCTTTGCTTTGCTAGTTTGGATATGTTCTGTATTCTTAGTGTTAAATGCTAACACATTTAACACTAACATCACATCAGTGGTCACATTAATTTGCGCTACACAAGTTTTAAAACTACTATATGTGTTGAAACCAGATATGATGACCATGAGGTGGATTTGACTGCGAAACTACAAAATCATTGCTGAATAACTTGTGATTCAAAAGTTGCTAGCAAATGAACATACGCTGCATAGTCAGCGAACTGTGAACCACAGTTCACAAGATAAACTTAATGTTGTATTTATGATTACCCACAACTAGTTATTGAGTCCATGAACTAATCAGAAAAGGGTTTCCTGAAGTCAAAGAGTAAGGCAGCTGAGGAGCCGATTTCCTAAAGATTTTGATACAACTGGAAATATTTTTGTAAGGTTGACACTGCAGCACAAGAGCAATGCATGTCTCACTGTCTTACTTGATTTCTTTTAGTTAACTGTCATGTAGTTTGAGGATAGGCTAAATGCTAACTCATATCAATATTTAACACAGTACCTATCTTAAAATTAAAACTCAACTAATCTCTCTCTAATAGAATTTTTAACAAACAAACAAACAAAACAAATCTAATGGTTTAGTCAGGAACATTCATGGTCCTATTTTAGTGTGGTAGCATATGAATATTTGCTAATTAGCTCTAGTTGTTTGAGGCATATGGATAATGTCATAAATAAGTTAATAAACCAGAACAGTGGACAAAATAAAATGACTTGATATTGGTAAAAAAGGAAAAGCCAACATATTGAAATTTACCCTGATAGGAACATAAATTTTCATGGAAAATTCCACAGCAACCTGACCAGCAGTCGCCGAGATGTTTCAGCAGAAAACAGAAAACCAAATGGACTCTTTAGTGTTGCTAGAAAGGTCGGGAAACCATGGTTCTATAATGAACTGTCATTTAGGACCAAAAAAAAGAAGAATTTTGTATTTTGGCAGTACTTGAAAGAACGCTGCACTTTCCGTCGTATAATTCTCTTTACTGGAAAATGCCAGCTGGTACACAGCAAAGGAGTGCCTTTATATTTTCATCTGAGCAGACAAACAACATGGTGCCACTTAGCAGAACCTCAAAGCCAGGCTGTGATGAGTCTGTATTTTGCGGAGGAGACATGTCACTTCAAGTGGATGATTGACGGTGCTTTTCTACACTCGAACAAAAATGAACTCTGAGCACTTGACTGAACGAATCATTTACTGAGCTTCCATTTGATCTTTGCTTTTAACTTGCAAACTAGAAGCTACTGGAAGTTTTTTAAAAAAAGTCATTAAAGTTTCTAAATTGACTAAAATGTCACAAATGGATTTGTATGAAATTTAATACAGATTTTCAAGGTACCCACAGAATTCTAGTAATGTCGTCACCTGACTTCATGTAATGGTACTAACAGAAAAAAAAGATGAGATGGTTTTACTAAACAGACCACTCTCAGCACAGATTGCACAGAGAAGTTAAAACACTTTTTTAAAGGCTCCAACCATTTGTATTTCAGCCAAATTTATGTTGGCTAGCTTGCTTTAAAACCCCAACAACCTGCCAGGGACAGACTCAAAAAAGTGAATCTTGTCACTTATCCATCAGCTCCTGTGGCATCTCATCAAGAAACAACACCAAATAAAAATCTACCAGTCAATCAAAATCTATATGTAGTGGAAACTCACTAGCAGATACTCACATAAAGGATGGGGATGATGGAGGGGTCGTCCCTACGAATTATGTTGGGAACATATTCAGCCTTTGGGACCTTGGAAGATATCAGCTATGGAGAGAAGAAAAGCATGCAGATAGACTTTGATTGCACATATATTAAAACTTCGTTAATCTATATGTTAATTTAATTGCCAGAAACTTCACCATGATTTTGGGGGGGATAAAGTCTTCTCCATCACAGGCCACTCTTTCCATTTCCCTCTCCTCCTCCCAGTTGGCATCCTCGTCCAGCCCTTCATCCAGCGTCCCTGAGGAGGTCTGAAGCTCACCACCTGGTTCACACATAGGAACAAAGGGCGAGATGAAAGGATAATACACAAACAAGATTAGTAGAGCGGGGTGCTCCATTTGAAAACGCTGCACCTGTTATTTTCTTTTCCCAGCACAGGGGGGAGAAATGGAGGAGTTAAAAACAAACGGCACACGACACAAAAGGACACAATAACAGGCTCCTTATCTGCCCAGCCAGATACAGACAGATACAACACAAAACAACAGGCAGATGGACGACAGGCCGAAGGATGAGTAGAGCTGTGCGGATGGATGGTAACAGTTGAGTAGTGGTACGCAGAATAAAGCATACTTTAAAAATGGCAATATAAAATAAAAAGAGACAGCATGTTTGCGTGACAGGGCATCTGTCAGTCTGTGTTTGTTCTGGTTTTAATGTGTGTGCAGCCTTATTATGCTTGAGTGCAGTTGTCTGTGTGCTTACCTGTAGGTGTTTATACATAGATGTGTAAGAAGCCAAGTTTAAGAAAAGCCTAAGGTATATATTGTATACCGTGTGTTTGCTTGTGAGTAACTAAGAGAGCATGGACTCACTGTCTCTGGATTCATGCAGTGACTCAGGCTTGACGGGGGTGGGGTCACTCCACGAGCGGCTGAAGCTCTTGGCTCGACGATCGACGAAGGCTGATGAAGTTGGGGGGAGGCAGAGAGTGACTCACATGCACACATATATACAGTCTCCAAAGGATAATCAAACCCAGTAATCAAGAGCTCTGTCTTATTGACCTAGCTTGTGAATCAGTCGATTCCATTGTCCCTGTTGGATATCAGGTCATGTTGCTTCATATTAACAGAACAGTAAGAGTTTACATTGTATTAGCAAATGGTTGATCATTTTTCAGTTTTTCTGTTGTCCTAATGATTCGAAGATAAAAAAAGTAATTAAAATTGAAAAAGTTGTTTAAACGAAATTGCATTAATGCACTTTTAATTTATAGACATCGTTATATACAATTTAATACATATTGATTTCTTTTATTAGAATTTTTAAGTAGTTCAGACTCTCTGCACACCTGATAGGTGTGTAGAAGGTAGAAAAGGGTTAAAAAGAAACATAACCTCCACCACACACTTTCTTACTTAACACCATTTCACTGAATCGTGCTGTTTCAGTGCAACTGACTTTCATCAGATATAAAACGATTATTAACTGTTTTTTTTAGCATTTATTGATCACCCCATATCAACCAAGTCTGGTCAATGGATGGATTTCACAGATTTTCTATGAACATACCCAAAACACAAGTATCTTTAAATTATTAAAGCATTACAGCTGTATTTTGTTTTGTTTTATGTTTGTATTTTGTAAATATTTAAACCATTTGTAATAAAAATGTATAAAATCTCATCATCAGAGTCTTGAGATTAGCCTGGTGGGAGTTCAAACCAAGGACTCTTTTTCCATTAATGTCAAATAACAATGTGACTATATTTAGAGGAAATACTTTACACATTAAAAAAGAAAAAAAAAACATATCAGATATTTTAAAAATAGCACATACTCAGAACTGCACAGCTAAACAAACACCACACATAAACTAGCTGGGATTCTGTCTTGTTAAACAGAAATTGCCTTTAAGTTCAATATAGTGCACAATCAATATCATACAAATGGCACACGTCTCACAATAATGAACAAATACAAAGACCGTCTAAACACTGCATAGCGATAAAATTACCATCAATTAGGAGTTTAAGGAATAATGTTTAGTATACTCTAACAAAATATATACACACGTCCACACTACTGATGCTACGTGCATAAAGCATGAAAAACATCAAATGAACATCCACTGTGATGTCATGGTACACACTCGAGAGCATGAATGCATGGTAGTGTTTTGACAATGCACACACATGCCAACAGAAACAAATGCAAAGACTCACTCTGGGCCTTCATCCTGCGACTGCCCACCATCCGAAGGTGCTTGCGAAAATTTCTATCAATTTAGAGAAAAAAAGAAGGAGACGAAGCATATCAAGAATATAAAAAAAAATAAGAGAGAAAATGCTTCAAACTTAAAAACATACATAGAGAAGAACAGAGCAGAAGATGATGGGGCATCTTGATTAGGGTCAGGCTACTGATGAATTACCAGTGATCACATCTAAATATCCAGTGGGTGTTTTGTGCATATGGACTGAAATTCATCTAGGGTTAGGAAGTGGGGTGCTTAACATCGACACATTTCATAGAATTGTCACCTGTTTTAGCCACTCAAATAGAAAATCATTAAAAAAAATCCCCAACAACAAAAAAGTGGATGTTAATCGGGAATAGAGGACCAAGGGTTTAACAGTATATTTTATAATGTAAAAGGATTGGCTCTTTATATAGGGCCTTTCTACTCTACCCGAGCAGACAAAGTGCTTTATACAACATGTCTCGTTCACACAAGCACTTTTCCCCTTATTTCAGTGTTTTCTATCCAACATTCACACTCCAATGGATGCATCAGAGATCTACTTGGGGTTCAGTATCTTGCATCCAGGGATCAAACCACCAACCTTCCAATTAGTAGAGACCTGCTCTACCTCCTGAGCTATAGCCACTCCCCAACTTTCAAGCTACCATTGAAAAATACAAATGTCCAAAAGCTTCATCAGTTCACCATGGTTAATAATCACAATTACCTTTGTGGTGTTTGAGGTGAACCCTTCCAGTTCATGGCAGATGTCCGAACTCAAAAGCTCAAAACAGTAAATAAAGTCTGCAGTTTGTTGTTTATTTTTCACAGTTTAGAAAAATCATCACAGTTTTCTTTGGTTACATGGTAAAGAACAGTTATTTTATTAAAATGAAGCAGACTTGCAAAAGTCTGTTTTTAATTGACTGATAATTATAGTATAATATAGATTGTATTGTTTTTGCATGTCTTATCCACTGCAGATATGCAGCTGAGCTTCTTGGGGCTTAGACTCATGTCTATTCTTCTTCGTGCTTATGTGGATTCCCTCTGGTTACTCTGACTTCCTCCTATAGTCATAACACATGCATGCTATGTATAGCATAAAGGTTCTAATTTCTTTTTTATGAAAAAAAATAAAAAATTGAGATAAATTCAATGAAAATCAGACGGGATCAAACTGTCCCACTGACATCCTGAAATATGTACAAAAGTTTTCCGGATTCCATGAAATTCTCCCTGCTGCTCTGTTCTCGTGAGAACTGGATGAACCCAGAATCTCTGTTTCTTCCTTCACTTGTTTAGAAACATTACAACATTCTCATAATCGCTTGATGTTGACTCCATTTTTGACTCCAACAATGTGACATAGAGGGTTCAAATTGACATCATAAGTGCATCTACTAAAAATCTTGGAGGAGTTCAAATCACAGTCACCTCCACCTCAAGATCAAGCTTAGAGGTCAAGTTTTGTGAAAATCTTATGAATGGCATAACTCAAGAAGGAAGTCACTTTTCATATTTATACCAGGTTGAGGGTGAGCATTGTTGGCCACCAGTATTTGTATATATATATATATATATAATTTTTTTGTAGTGCATTTTGTGAGAACAAATTTTTCAAACATGTCTTAATTATTGTGAATCTTTTAAATTTTCTGCAATGTGCTCAGTGTTTAAAGGCCTTTATCAATCAATCAAGCCAGCTCCAATCACCAAGAACCCTGCTATCATGGTTCCGAATAGGTAGATATCTTCAGCGTCCTCGATCGACAGTCCCGCCAGGCACATGACCCTCCAGTTCTGCCACCCGTCCATCGTGTATCCGGCAGGGAAAGTCCCTCCAGGGCACTCGGGCTCTCCCAAGCCCAGACTTCTCGTTGAGAAAGGGTGTCAATAGCATTCAGAGACCAGTTGATGAAATCCATAATTCTCTTTTAGGTTTTAGAGAACGACAGTGAGAGACTGTTCCAGGGAAAGTAATACACACGAGACAAGACAAGGACACAGAGGCTAAGGCTAAAAGATAACTTTGTGGTTTTGTTTGTGGCATTGGTTTGTTTCTACTTCCTAGAGGTTAAGCCATAGATTCTATTTTGTTTTATGTGTCTATTTTGTCTTCCTTGCTGTTGGGTAGCTAAGGTTACCTATCTAGCTTTATGCAAAAATCACATCAAAAATAGGATGAACGGGTAAATCAGTGTGTGGACTCTTCTGCTCTATGTAGTTGAGGCACATGGTACTGTGATAAGGTTCAAGGAAACTGATGAGAATGGGTCGCAACCCTATAGCTAATTATTTATAATAAGCCCCACCTCTATTAAAGGTTGTCTGCCCCATATAGTATCTGTTTTTGGTGGCACTGCACAACACTGGGTGCACCCTGGACAGGTCATCAATCTGATGCAGGGGTAACATAGCAACAAAAGCAACTACCAACATAATTTTCTAGTTTCATTATGGCTAAATAGCAAAAAGAAACGTGCAAAAGCGAAATGCAAAGCTCACATCCCTACATGCACCATTTAAAGATATTTGAATCCAGAGCACAGTTGGAGGCAATCCAAAAACACCCCTGACATGTCAGTGTTGATTGCAGGAATGGTGAAGGCAGCGCCTAAAATAGAGAGATGACTCAGAGGAGAGGGGGACCCATCCGTCAGTCAGAGTTGTATTTTCATACTGTGTGACAACTAGCTTTTTAAATCTACCACCTGCACACCAAGATAATAAAGTCAAATTCCTGCCAGTATATGTATGTGTGAATTCATATTTCTGCAAATAAATCGCCCCTAACCTTCGCTTTCCTGCTGTGACCTTACAAAACACTTTGCAAAATTATCCTCATTCAGCCATGAATAATTAAATTTTTGAAACTAACTGAGATGTACATTTCTATTAAAAGCATTGCACTCTATGTGACATGCACGCGCGCGCGCGCACACACACACACACACACAAGCTCATACAGCATATGGAATGTCTCAGCCTTGGTGGATGTGAGGCCCGTTGCCAAATATTGATCAATTCATTGGCTCTGACTGCCAGCCACAGAGTGCAGAGCTGCAGCAGTATATTGACAGACCCGTTTTTACACTTCAGTGTTCAGTGAGGAACATTTATTAAACCTGCCACCCACAGCCTCCACGATTCACGACACACACACACACACACACACACATGTGCGCCGGAGAATGCTTTTACGAGACATGTGATTGCCCCATAGGTAGGGATTGGAAGGCACGGTGAGTTCCTCATGCAGAGAGTCAAAATACACAAAGTGAATGTTCACCAGCAAACAGTCGGAGCAGAATATGGTAACAAGAAAAACACTTGAGTGCTGGGTTTACTGTGCGCTGGTTAGTCATAGTCTATGGTGAAACATCACCCTATCAAGATTCAGATGGTCTCGATTAGAGTAACAGAAACATTAATACAGAAAGCATGATTAGATGTTCATCATTACTAGGAGATATTTTAATTTTATTTTTACGTGGCTGACCTTACATCAAGGTCATCTTCTCTTGCAACTCTGAACTTTTTTCAGAGTTTTTTTAAGGTCACGCCATAGAAGTCTGATCATGTTCCTTTGTAAATGCGACTGTGCAATAGAGAGTAGTTGTCTTCCAGTTTGTTGAAAAACAAAAGAAAAATGTTCATTTCATCGTGAGGAAGTGGATGAACTTACAAGTTGTGCAATTAGGACAGCTGGTAAATGAAAATTGTGTGGTCATACCAAAAACTTCTCAATGAAGTTCTGCTATCACAGAATGCATGCACCATAGTTCAGGTCATGTCTAGTGAAGTCAATGTGCCATAATAACCATTGTATTAACAATAAATTTAATAATGCTGCATAGCAACAGTTACACACAGATGCTGGCAGAGACCAGATCAGCTTTTTCAAAAAACACTTTTTATCCATAACAAGAACAGCAAAGAAACTATACAACAAAAAATGCAAATGCTATTTATGGTCTCCTCATAACAATGATAAGAAAAAATAAACTGGGCCAATAAGACATGCTTGTTATTACAGGGATATACATGTTAATGTGATCCCCCCCGCTTTGTATTTTGCCAGTTCTCTTATCTGGGGATCATACTTGGCACTGGAGGTCTGGAAAATAACACTCTCAAGGAAAAGAGCACATACAGCACTATCTTTCTGCTGAACAAAACCCCTGTCATAAAAGACGATTTGGCGAATACAAGATCATAAAATTATATTTTTTTCGCTTGCTTCAAGGCCATATTTCACAGGACTGATTAGTTAGCAACATCCCTCTCGCCGGTAGGCTAAGTGATTTTTAGCCTATTACAAGTTGAACTCGGTGGGTGGGGTTGTTAGCTAAGATGCAATGATTAAGAAATGGCGCAACTGATGTGTCTATGCAAGCTAATTTGTGATGTGCACTGGTAATAGATATTTATTTTTTACTGCACCTTCTCTGTGCATGTTGTGCCATCAGTTAACCCTTCGCGTGCCAGCATGAGTGCCCAGGGTTGCCGGCCCCTGGTCTACAACACTTGAAATATAAATAGAAACGAGGTTGAAAAGACTTATTTTAAAATCGGATAAAAGGCATTTCTTTTCAAGAAGTTGTTTTCTTTGTTGGGTAATAGGGTAACTATAACAGCACCACACAGGACAGGACAGGGCACGGTACCTCTCCATCATGGTGGCTGCCTCCTGCTCTCTTTTCCGTCTCTTTCTCTCAGCAATGCCTCGGAAAGCCCTGCCGGGACGTCAAAGCATTAAGTTGTTTTGTTTGGAAATATAGGTTTTCGTTTTAGCTGCGCCTGACAGCAACCAAGGATTTTTTTGTCTGAACCCAATCTGACCCAAGGGCTAAAAAACTCTACTATTACTTGCTATATCTGGTGAGCTTAGAAATTAATGCAGCTTTTAAGTTCATGTTTGTTATAAACAAAGCTAACTAAAATGCCACACAGTAACAAAAGGAAACTAAAAAGCCCATAGGGTCTAGTTGGGTTCGGGCATAAAGTTTAGTTAGGGTGGTATGGGAAGACACTAAAGGTGTCAAAGGTGAGGGGTTTGAAGTCCAGTAGGGTTAGTGAGAGTTTAGTTAGCTTTGGTGAGTAGTTAAAGTTAGCAGCACAGGGACATCTAATCCACCAAAGGCAGAGGACATTGAGGATAATTGCATGTACACTCACGCACACACACTCACAAACCACAATGTAGGAAAAGACACTGAGGGAACAAAAGACGATTTTATATTCATTTAAATATGAATGTCAAATTCTTTTTTTGCAGCTTCAACAGCCATTATGGGATGTATTGGTTTTTTTCTTTGGTTGGTGGGGTCTTATTATTTTGTGTAGGTCTCAAAAGGTCAGGCCTAATCAAGGCTTTTAGAACTTGTTGCCCTGGCTGTCTTCTGACCAATTTATCTCATCTTTATGAAAAGCCTCTAGGAAAGACTAGCTATTTCCTGATAGCATAGAAACTCATTGTGTTCCCTTACTTGTAGGAGGTTGAAAGAGAACCCAGTTAAACGTCAGAAATGGATTATCAGACCAGTGCTGAGATGTGACATCTCTGCAAACCTCTGTTTCACATTTTGATGTACTGAGAAATATTTCTGCACCAAAATTTTTGCAACACATTATTAACCATTCTGCCAAGTGTGTAACAGTATGCCTACACCGAGGTGCCTTTCCCAGTAGGGACAGTAATGGTTCTGACAGGGCGTCAGACATAATGAGAATCATCTGTGACAGCGTATGTCAAAAACAAAGTCCGGTCCTACGGTCTGGTTTTCACCAACGGACAGACAGACAGGCAGGCAGCTGATGAGCCCTGGGATGACAAAACATGAGGCTGAATTCACTGGAGTCTGATTATTATCCAAAAGCTCTCTGCATTGCTATTGCAGAATTTTTTCCCCTTGTGAATTCACTCACGTTCTGTTCCTTCTCACTGCAAAAACAAACAGGTTGGAAGAGATGTTTCCTTCAGCCTGTCCCTCCTTCCACCATCTGCTATCACCAGAATATTTAAAAGCTGACAGCCTACTTCCTCTATTGTGCGATAAAGCAATCCTGTAAATTTTCTGCCAAATTTATCAAGCAGCCAGCAGAGAGAGAAGAAAAACAGATTTTTCACCGTCTTTGGCAGTAGGCACATGCAGTTTTATAGTTTCAAACAGTGGTTTACATAATCTTAAGCCTGTGAGGTCTAAGCCATCAAAGGTGAAAACACTAAAAGCAAAAGTGACCTACATATTCTGAGTTAAGGTTTGGGTTATTTGCTGATGATGGTGACTTAGACCTTAGAGAGTTAAATATGAGAAGATAAGTTATAATACTAAAGATCTGAAGATATTAAAGTATTGAAACTTAAGCAGTACTGGGGGCGGCTTTATGTCTGCTGACAGCTAGATTGGTAGTTGCAAATGAGAGTTAGCAAACATTTGAAAAAGTGTGTGATCTAGGTAACTAGAATTTCATCATGTCTCACATGATGCATGGTCACCTTAAAAGTCTACCAAGAAACTTGGGAAAAATGTTGTTTCCAGAATTTGATCAACCAAGTCCAGTAATCTAAGTTTAATAGGAGTTCCCAGTTTACCTTAATAGATGGAATCATTAGCAACCAAAAAGCCTTAGAGACTCTTGTTTATCTTTCTTTACAGCAAAGCCATACAGTCTACTTTTGACACCAGCAAGAACGGATATCACATGTGTGATCAACCTTATTTTTAAAAAAAAGACTAAAATTATCACCTGGTCATTGATTGGTCACATTGCAGTTTAGATTACTGCTTGTTCAAACACATAATGTATGAAAACGCTCATGTCCCTTTATTAAATTCCTTTAAATTCCTTTAAAGATAAGTGATTCACAGTCACATCCCCTGTATGTAAGTAATGGTGTTAGATACTGACTAGACAACTGTTTTTGCAGAACATAGTGATGTGACCATAGATTGCTGGGGCCAGGAAAATAATTTTCCCAAAGAGAAATGAGAAACTGGGACTGCTACGGAGGGCCGAATATTCAGTTCAATTCTGCTCAATAGTAATTTTATTGGAAATGTTATCCTTTTATAAACCACTAATGGTAATAGTAGATGTTACAAGTAGGTCCTAATTGTGACCCCTTGGGAAAATCAAATGCCCACTCTTAGACTAGCTGGACGTTGCCACCAACCCTTCTTGTTTTTGAATTCCCATTTTTGAAGCCTCAAGCTGGGTCACTGAACTGTTCTCAACTTAACTTCTTTGAAACCACACATTATAATCTGGTTCTTACTCTGAAACCATCATCACAATATTTAAAAGCTGACAGCCTACTAAAATACAGTTTACACTATCTTTTAGCAGGAGGCAGGTGTAGTTTCATAGAGTAAAAAAGAATAAAATCTTTTAAAACAACCAAAGTGTTTTCGTGGAGATATGAATGTGACAGTATAGCTATGGAAGGGACAGGAAGCAAAATGTGCAAAGGATTGCACTGAGACATTACAAGAATGAAACAAAGGTTTCATTGGTGTTGTGAGGGACAAAAGAGGCAGGTGACGTGTGATTCAATCACATGATTTATAAAACACTGTAAAAACATGTATGCTATTAGCTGTTCACTGCTTATAGCTAGTTAGCTATAGCTAACTTATCTCTGCAAGTTTTCTATCATATTGTCTCCCCAAAAAAGCCTCCGCTGTGTTTTGTGAGCTATTTTTTTGTGAGCTTATGCTGTGTTTTTCCTTTTTCTTATGTGTTTTATTCAGCTTTTTTCTATTTGCTGTTGTTTTCTTAAGTTGCTGTGCATTTGACCTTTCAGGGCTGCTGTACGACTCAGACCTCAGAGGGTTAAACAGCATTACTAAGATTTATCTATAGAGTTATGCACAAGAAAACAGCTTTGAGTTCATGGTTTTAGTTTTCAGACATAAAAACTACACTGTCTTTATCAGAAATATATCAAAGGAGTTCATTTCAACAAAGAATTGTTGCTATTTAAATAATGCTTGGCATGACCTACTTTTCATTCCTACCGTACCAAACCTTCCTTGCCTTTAATCTTACATCCACATATTGACATCCCATCCAGCAGACACCGAGGTTGGGGGAATAAGGACACAGTAGACTGACTAGCACAAAGCCACATGAGGAACAGAGTTCAATGCGAGTTACCTAACTGGCATAGCAAGAAAAAAAAAGAAAAAGCAACAAGGAAGAACAGTGGGGGCGTTTGAAAGATTTACTCACGATATTCTACAGTCGTGGTTTGGAAGGCCGCCACACAGTGTGGAGAGGAAGAAGAGGAGACAAAAATGAAAGAGAAGTTAGCAATAGGGCCAGCCAAATACTCTACATACCCAGATTTTGGAGTGAGATTTATGTTCCAGTTCTCATTTTCAGGAGAGACAAAATGGAAGAATCCTACCTATAAATAAGTAAGCAGGGACTGGCATTCAAATATGACATGCACATTGAAAGAAGTGAGGAAGAGGAGATGATGACTGATGAAATATGTACATGTATGTACATCTAAAGTGTACCAAAATATCTCACCAGTTGGTTCTCAAGGACTGGCCATAACCAAACACTTAGTTTAATGTGTAGTCAATAATGTGTAGTCAATTAAACTGTGATATAGCCATCATTCAGCCTGCCATTTAAATCAAAAGTGAGAGTCAGACCCATATATCAGTCTGACTCTAATACGGACACAGGCAGTCGGAAACAGATGGGAAAAGGAAGGTGAGACATATGGATAGCAAAGAGGGAGTGTGGGAGAGAAGAAGGGAAAAAAAGATCATGGTGGGTGCGCTTTATCTGTTTGAGAGTCATAATTATAAGGTCAGGGTGATAGGTGATAATTAACCTGTCAGCAAGACTGGAACGGAGTTGTGTGTGTGGGTGTATGTGTGTCTTGGTTAAGGCACGTACACGATCTAGACCAACACATTTCCAGCTTTCTAAATGTGTTGATTTCAAAGACTCTTTGCTGCTAAGTTTAGAGGAACAAGTACTATGCACAACACTGGAAACAGGTGCATTCCATTTAGCTGGTATCATTGTTTACTGGGACACTTGTTGGACCATGTTGTTAAAATTACTAGACTGTGCTTCTACCAGTACAGATCTAAAACATCCAGTTTTTCTATGGGCAACTGCTTATTTCTAAAAAAGTGGCTTCCTGTATTAATAAAACCAACGAGCAGAAATGTGTGAAAGCTCATTAAGACTTTGTATTAGAATGTTACATTTGTCTCTTGGAAGGAAAAGACTGGGGCCGTATCCTGCCAACATGGCAGCGAGATGCTGTGATGCACAGAGTGGGAGTGAAGGTGGATTTCCATGCCATACTCACGCCTGCATGGTGGTGGTGGCTGTCTGAAAGCTGAACATATTCTCTTTGGGGAACCAGCTGTTAGGATTGTCCTCTGCAAACACACATAAGAAAAGGAAGGTGTGTATCAGTGAGCATTACATTCAAACACAGGCTTTACAAATAGCAGTGGAGGTGAATAAAAATATGGTGAGAATGTGTTTAAATTCAGGCTCAGTTTGTTTATTCATTTAAACATTCACATTTCGTTTTATACCCCTGTCATCTGTAGATGCTCTGTCCTCGCTGTACATTCTCTCCAGTTTTTTGCGTTGCTTCCCTCCATCTCGGGGTGAGGTATCTAGGTCCAGGGAGCGCTGACTTTGGCATGGAGCCCGAATGCAGGCAACGCAGTCTGGGGTGTAGTCATCCCGCGACCCACCTCTCCTCATTCCCCAATCACGAATGTTGCCAGCGCTACCCGAGCTCTGCAGCGGCTGCGATGATGACGTTGGGCCTCCGTGATGCTGCTGGGCATGATGTTGGTTACTGCGGTGATGGCTGCTACGGTGATGGCTGCCACGGGCAGCTGAGGCGGTTGGTTGGCTGGTGCAGGATAGGCCATGACTGGCAGCAGAAGTGCTCTGTGAGAGAGGCTGCTCCTGGGAGCCCTTCAGCACCTCCAACTCCAGGCTCTCCTCACTGCCACGGCCCCCGAGGGTCATCCCGCCTTCCCTGGTGATTGTGTACACCCTGGCTGGCTTCACAGCAACAGGCCCCTGTGAGCCCCTGGCAGCAGGAGGGTCCTCTATGGAAAGACTGCGTTCAGCAGAGAGTCGCCGTTTGGAGGGGCCAAGTGATGCTTGAGCCTGGAGAGTGTTGACTTGAGATTGAGACTGTGGGTTAGTGCTGGGATTAGACTGGCTGGACTGGGCGGGTTTAGCTATGGATAAACAATGGCTCTGTGGTGGCAGATTGTTGTTATGCAAGTGACTGACGTCTGGAGAGTCCTGGCCAGAGAAAGTTTCAGACAGTAGATGATCTGGGGATAAAGAGAAAGGGGATGAAGCAAAATTAACAAGAAAACATAGCAAGTGAGAGATAAATCATGCTGTCTGTTTTCTATATAGCTTTCATAAACGGACATCAGATAAATGCTTTCTATGTAAATAGAGTTAACAGGGAGCTTGCTTGTGTCTCTTTGGGATTTGTGGCTCTCGCAGCAGAGTGGTAAACATTTACTAGCTGCAAAGCTTTTGTGAGCACATGAGGAAAATAGAGAGGTGGCATAGTGATGGAAAAAAAACAAAGGGCGGAAAGATGAAAGATTCAGAAATGGATGAGCCGGTACAGTCCAAGAAGCCCAGTTGTCCTGTAGGATCATGAAGGACGAATAGTTCTTCTCACTGCATAAATGGTTGCAATGCCGCAGGCTTGAAAGCAAGTGTAATCTAATGGGACTTGCTAGTTTTTCATTTTGTGTGTCCTGTGGATAAATAAGTATGGTATAGTGCTAATTTTCCGATGCCTTTAATTTAGTTTTATATCATTATAACGATGTTCATTTTTTAACAAATCTTTTTAATAATCATTGTCTTTCTATTTTAGACAATGTTTGTCCTGTTAAAACTAGACTAGCTCCGGTTTCAAAGTCGTCTCCCTGGATAAATGATAGTATTCGCTTCTCAAAGCGTTGCTGCCGTACGGTTGAGCGTTTATGGAGGAAAACGCATTTGCATGTCCATCTCCTTCAATTAAAGGACCTTTTAGTCTCTTTTAACACTTCAGTTCGAGATGCGAGGGCTGCCTATTTCTCAGACTTAGTGTCTAAGAGCAGAGGTAACCCCAAGGTACTATTCAACACCATTAGTGATATTGTTGCTCCTGCTCCACCTGCTGTCCCAAATTCATCAAATGAAGATTGTGAAAAATTTCTTTCTTCGTTGAAAATGTCAGTAACGTGAGGAACAATATCTCTCCTTCTGTGTCTCTCTTGTCTGCTCCAACTCAAGCTAGGCCTGTAATTTTAGAAAGATTTTTACCTGTGTCCTTACCAGAGCTGTTCAAGTTAGTTAATTCAATGCGTCCTCCTGCTTTCTTGATATTTTACCTGGATCTTTGTTTAAAAATGTCTTTCAGTCTATTGGTCCCTGTGTGCTCACAATTATCAATACCTCACTGGTTTCTGGTCAGGTCCCTGTTTATTGTAAGAAT